TGGCACCAGAATCCAGAGCCCACGCTGCGCCCGCAAACTGCTGAAGTGCGTTCGGCCCGATATCGGCAAGCCATGCGGAACCACCGAACCGCTTGGTGAGGAACTCCGAGAACGCCTTGGTGAGGACATCTGTCGGAACTGCAGGCCCAGTCCGAGCCCCAATGGACGCAGCTCCCAAACCAGGCTGCGCAGACGGCCCTCCATTGGACGAAGAGTCACTGCTGCCATTGATTTTGGCCGGCAGTCCGGCCTGTAAGCGGAACTTTTTGGATTCAACCAGCACTTTTGCGCTGTGTGTCCGGGCTTGTGGCAATGTTCACACGGCTTGTCATTGCCTTTCTTGCTGTTGTGTTTGCCTCCCTGCCGCCGCGGCATCAGCGACCTTGGCTGCTGCAGCCATTTCTGCGCTTTTCGCCCTTCTGTCTCTTCCGAGTGATGTGCAATCAAACCCATCTGGTGACGAAACAATGAGGAAGACGCCATGTAGCTGTCAAGCTCCGACAATCCAGAACAACTGAGCTCTTGGATCTTGGTGTTAGCCTCCGTGGCAAAATGCGTTGACTCATGCAAGTGCCGCGGATCAACGATGCGGACACGTGATTGTATCAGCTTGAGGATCTCCGGTCCGGTCCTTTCTTGCCCTTCCGACATGCGGCAACCACCGCTGCGAAAACATTCACGTCTTTTGTTATTCATGTCTACGGACATGTTTGACGCCACATCGCCAAAGGAAACCGCTTCATCATCAAGCTCTCTGATGTAAGCCATGGCTGCCAGTGGGTCCGGCGCTACACGCAAGATTTGACTCTTCAAGTGAAGCGCCAGCCCTCATAATCAGAACCAGTCTCTGGCAGATCTTTGATGTAGATGCGTCCTGATGTCGCATCGTCCGTCGCCGTGGCACTTACAGGTACGGCTGCTAACCCTGTGTTGGTCACAGCTCAATCAAGCACAGCTCTGACGTAGCAAGCGTTTTTCACCTGGTCACTTGAGCCAAGGCGTTGCCAAGGCAAGTCTGATGCAATCATATGCAATCATTTTGATTCACGGTAGTCGCGGCAACGGCGCCAGCTTTGGCGGAGGATTTTCGCGCGGCTCTGGGCCGTCACGGGCCACCGTCCCCCGCCCCGAGCCGCGGCCGGGGCCGACGTGGCCGCGGGCGAGGGCGGGGTCGCAGCCGAGCGGGTGAAGCCCAAAGTCCAGCCGACGTTCCCACCACGCGCACGCGCGAGGAGTGCTCGCAGCGCGTAGACGTAGCCGTGCTGCCTGAAGAGGCCTGGGCCACCCTGGATGGCGTTGACCTGAGTGCGGAGGTGCGCCGGCCCGTGCCTACTCTGCAGGATGTGCCGCCCTTCATGCGCGGTGCCGTGCGAAGAGCGCTGGTCGCTGCCCTTACCCGCATCCGCGAATCGAGCGACCCCGTGGGACTCCCGTGGGACTCCCCGCTTGCCGCGCCTGGAAACTCTTTTTGCTGGCGCCTCGCATGCTGCTTGCCAGGACGGACGAGCGAGGGGCGCAGGGACGCGCCCTGCTGCTGGCCAGGGCCCGAGCGTTTGAGCAAGGCGACTGGCTGCGCCTGCTGCGGGCCGCGCAACAACCGCGCAGTCCACGCAGGCGCGCGGCCCAGCCGGACGAAAATGCTGGCGCAGAGCGCCGCCGGGCCCAAGCTTGCGCTCGAGTCCGTGCGGGGGAGCTGTCCCGTGCCCGGCACATGTTGACGGCCGCGGAGTCCCCGCGTCCTCGTCGGGGCGCAGTGCTGGGGGCCGGCGGCAGCACGGTCGCGATGTGGCGCGGTGTGGGAGCAGGCACCCGGCGAACATGGGCGAGGGAGGTGGCCTGATGGGCCTCCGCTGCCTGCTGCAAGACGCCACAAAGCAAATCGGTGGTTGACAGCCCTAGAGAAGCGGCCAGCTCGGAGAGCTCGCGGTCGCCTCCGGCAGCCACGCACGACAAAAGCTCGCTTGCGGCCACTGTCCAGGCCGGCGGGCAGGCGGGGCGTGAGTAGCAGCGTCCCCACAGCTGCGTTGCCGTTGGGAGCGCTTCCCGAGCCGCGTTCAGGCTCCAGCGCAGGGCGGCCACCAAAAGGCTCGCCAGGGCCATGAAACCGACCGGCGAGGCTACCGGGGGGGGGACAGGGCACGAACTCGTCAAACAGCTTGAGGCTTGTGTTGGGCACGCCGGTCGGCCACTCGGAGTACGTGCGCGCCTGGGCAACGACCCGAGCGCACGAAGAGCGCCACCTGCTGAGCAGTTGCCCCGGCTCCCAGACCTCCAATGCGCTTGGCTGCTCTTGGCCATGTGCGCTTCCCCGCGCGCTAACCATGCCTTGCGGACCGTCCCCCCCTCCGAGGTCGCCTCCTACGCCCAGTTGCACGACGATGCAGTCTGGGAGGCCTTGCTCGCACTGCTGGGAGGCCTTCCTCCAGACGAAGCGGACGGAGCGCGCTCTCTGGCGGGGCTCCCCGCTGCGCTCGGAGGCCTGGGTTTGCAGTCGGCTGCGCGCATGGCGCCGGCGGCCTATTGGGCTGCCTGGGCTGATGCCGGTACTCCGAGCGCGGGTGCCCGAGTTCGCCGCTTCCTGCGTGGATTACTTGGGCGCCGGGGGTGGAACCGCGCCCTGCTTACAGAGCGCGGCTGGTGCCCGCAGCCTTCTCCGGGCCGAAGGTTGGCATACATGCCCCGAATGGCGAGCTCTTGCCGAGGAAGCCCGCCCTCGCCCCCTTGCGGACGCCGGCCTGGGCGACTGGCCGCATGGTTGGCAAAGCCACGCGTCGCGTACCCGGAACCTTCACTTTCGCGACAGCGTGCTATTGCCATCCTTGCCGCCAGCCGCCTCTGCGCTTTTGCGTTCGCAGGCTGGGCCGCATGCGGGAGCCTGGCTAACAGCAGTGCCCGCTGAGCCCGCCATGACGTTGGAACCCCAGGCCATGCAGGTGGCACTGCGCCGACGCCTCCGCCTCGCACTCCCGCTCCACTCCGATCGCTGTGGGCCCTCTCCAGGATGCGGCGCGCAAGTAAATGCTTTCGGGGACCACGCCTTGGCATGCCCCCGCAGCGGCCTCCTCGCCCGCCGTGCCAAGATAGTGGAACGGGCGTGGGTGCGGGCGGCTCGGGAAGCAGTTGGGGCAGACGGGCAAGTAGTCCCGCAGCAATGGCTGGCCCACACCACGGCCCCCCGGGTGGACCCTTCCGACAGGCGCCGCTTGGACCTGGTAATCTACGGCGCCACGCCTCTCTGGGCGGAGCGCTGTGCTGCGACGCCACGCTGGTCTCCCCACTGACCCGGACGGGCTTGCCGCAGCCCGGCGCTGCTGCGACGGACGGAGCGGTCCTGCGGGTCGCGGAGCGCCGCAAGCGCGACGCATACCCGGAGCTGTGCGCGGGAGGGCCCCAGACACTGGTGGTCCTGGGCTCCGAGGTGGGCGGACGGTGGAGCCAGGGCGCGCTCCAACTTGTGCGCGACCTGGTCCGGATCCGTGCGCAGCGCGCGCCGCCCGCGCTGCGGCAAGCAGCCGTTTCGGCGTGGGCACGGCGCTGGTGGAGCCAGCTGTCGGTGTCGGTCCAGCAGGCCGTCGCCAGCACGGCCTTGGGCTGTTCCTGGCCTGTGCCCCACCCCAGCCAGCGGGTTGGGCCTGACTTGGACCAGGTCCTGCACCTCGCTGAAGTGCCGGGCCCCAGCAGGCTGCCGCTGCGCTGACGGCGCTGCCACGCCTTCGGCGACTGCGGCTTTTAGCCGCTAGGGACACACAAATCGCAGCGGAGGAAAAAAAACAAAAAAATCCGCGGATGTCATGACATGTGAGGCATCAAACGTGAGCCAAGTACTTAAACTGCTCACACTTGATGCCGTTGACCTGCCACTTGCCGTCAGCGCGTTCTGACCCTGCAGACTACTCCCGCACCGTCGCGCAGTGCACGCAGTATCACGCAGTGTACGTAGTGACATGCACGAGCGGCAACTCTGCGTTGTTTTGCAGTGCTCGGCTCGAGCCTGCGTTTGAGTCGCGTCTGAGTCGCGAGGTTTGTGTTAAGAAATTCAGACACCCGCCCACTCCGCCCATACTGGTGGGGTGGCAGGTCAGGGCTTCCGCAGCTGGGCAAAGTCCCGCAGATGAGACCTTACCTGTCCGCCGCCTGCCAGTGCACCACCAAAAAGAAAGCGCTTGCTTTGGGGTGCTCCGGATTGTCTTTTGTTGCAGAGTGTGAGCTCGATGTCCGCGGGAGCTAGCTTGCGCACTCGGCTGGAGGCTTTTCTGTCTCGCGGCACGGATGCTGCTCCACCGCTCGCCGGGCGAGGCCCGAGTTCCTACTGCAGAGTTGGAAAGGCGCGTTGACCTCTTCCGAGCTTTGCGAGCCCTTCTCCACCCGGCCCCGAAGTCCAGTGCAAGCACATGAAGCTTGAAAATTCGACCGGCCGGCAGGCTAGCCGTTGGCCCTTTTCTTCAGCTACGCACAGGGACTGAGCCATAGCCTTATGCATTTTCTGCGAGTCCGGGAACTCAACGAAAGCAGCCGGGGCGAGGGAAGCGCTCGTCAGGGTTTGTCTGGCCTGCGACAGATGACCACGACGCACCTGGGCGCAAGCGCGCTCACGGGTGCGCTCGGGCTGCGCGGCGGAGGTGAGCGGCGGAGGTGAGCGGCGGTTGCTGCGTCGTGGTGTGGCGCGCAGTGCGCAGCAAAGAAGGCCAGCGACCGGCCTCGAAGTCAGTGACTCGCTGGAGAAGCACGGCTTTGCCAGTGGCACCACTTTGATCCGGGCGCGCCAACAGCAGACGGGGCACCAACAGAAACAACTTCCAGGCTTTTTCCGACGTGATGCCTGCCTCATGCTCTGCTGGCATATCGAGTGCATGGCGTGCTCTGGAAACGAAGTCCAGTTCATGATTTGAAACTTTTTTTGACACAAGATCGGACATCCCGTGTCGCGTGCCGGAATACCGTGACGAAAGATCAGCCTTCATTCGGATCGTATGCTGTAATCTCCCTCGGCATTCGCGCAGGTTTTTCAGCGTCATGGAGGCACGGCTTGCTGTAGCGCAGAGGGCCAGCACTCAACGGAAAGGGTTGTGGCATGTCGGGGTACGGCCCACAAGCCCGCAGATTCTGCCGTCGATGAAGACTTGATGGAGGCCGTGGCTTGCCAGGCACACCCCCCCGCACGACGAGCATCTTGTCATGTAAGGTTTTGCCGCAGCAGCCCAAGCAAATGTCGTGATCACGTTGTGGCCAGGCTTGCGAAGTCTTGGAAGCCTACGAGGGCAATGGCGGCCGCAGCTCGCAAGACATCACGGAGGCACCAGCAGCAGCAACGAATCCCCTCAGCTTGCTTGTTCCAGAATGGGGGGGACCTGGGCGGGGGGGCCAGGGGGTCTGTAATGGGGTGCAGCGCATATGTCGACCCTCCCCCGCCCCCCATGTCAGACTCTGTATATGTATATGTATATGTATATGTATAGGTATAGGTATAGGTATAGGTATATGTATATGTAAATGCAAATGTAGAGGTGTATGTATCTGTATATGTATATGTATATGTATATGTATATGTATATGTATATGTATATGTATATGTATATGTATATGTATATGTATATGTATATGTATATGTATATGTATATGTATATGTATACGTGTATGCATATGTATATGCATATGTATATGTATATGTATATGTATATGTATATGTATATGTATATGTATATGTATATGTATATGTATAATATGTATATGTATAATATATGTAGAATATATGTATAATGTATATGTATAATTTATATATGTATAATATATATGTATATATATGTATAATATATGTATAAAATTATGTATGAGATATATGTATAGGTATGAGAATATGTATGAGAATAATGATATATGTATGAGATATATGTATACTATATGTATAATATGTGTATAATATGTGTATAATATGTGTATAATATGTGTATAATATGTGTATAATATGTGTATAATATGTGTATAATATGTGTATAATAAATATATATAATATGTATAAATGTATAATATATGTATATAATATGTATATGTATATGTATATGTATATGTATATGTATATGGTATATGTATATGTATATGTATATGTTATATGTGTATGTGTATGTGTATGTCTGTGTGTATGTATTATGTGTATGTATTATGTGTGTATGTATATGTGTATGTATGTGTGTATGTATGTGTGTATGTATATGTATATGTATATGTATATGTATATGTATATGTATATGTATATGTATATGTATATGTATATGTATATGTATATGTTTATGTTTATGTTTATGTATATGTATATGTATATGTATATGTATATGCATGTTTCTGTTCATGTATATGTTCATGTATATGTTCATGTATATGTTCACGTATATGTATATGTATATGTATATGTATATGTATATGTATATGTTTATGTTTATGTTTATGTATATGTATATGCATATGTCTATGTATATGTATTTGTATATGTATGCATATACATCCCTAAGCCCTCAGCAAACACCACGGCAGGTACATCCCTAAGCCCCAAGCAAACGCCACGTATTCGTAGTTCGGGTTAGTTCGTCGGATGTTTTCTCTCAGCAGGACAGTCAAGGTTTCGAGGGGTGTTAGTATGGCTGACAGGGTTTGGGGTGCCTTCAGTTGGGGTTTGAAATGGCTTTTTCGAATTGGCAACCAACCCCTGGGGCAGACCCCATTGCAAACCCCGTTCAGGGACTAAATGGGGCGTCCCTGGGCCCACCCTGAGGGGATAGCAACGATGTGTTTCGATGTATCTCGGATCGCTGGCGCACCATTGACATGGCTCCATCTCAAGTGTTTGGCAGCAGGTTGCAGACAAGTGCACATACCCACGGACCTACTGTTACTTGTAGCCCGTACGCATAGTCGGCCCATCCTTGGCGCAACAATGGCCAGCAACAGCCGCATCATGCTGCAGCATAAATTATCGGTCATGTTTCGGTGATGACAAGCCATGGTGGACAACCTAAATGGGAGGTCCGCAGCAGAGATCAAAGTTGCACACGATTTTTTTGCATTGAAACCCGCTATACCATGCCAGATTCAGGAAGCATTGGGTATTGCGGCCGTGACGAAATCGAAAGATGCAGGCTGGTTGTTACCCGTCAATCTTGCAGTGTGTAGAATTGTAGAACTAACTGTCTATGATTTCCAGAGTTGCGCTCGTGGTGCTCACCGTAGCTCTTTTGGTAGTTGGTGGTGGTTTGGCGTTAGGTCCTTGGATTGCAAGCCGAAAGAACATCCAGACGCCGCAGGACGTAACCGTATCGCTCTGTGATGGACTACCAAGGCCATACAAAATCGGATGGCGCAACCGCACACATTCTTTTGGAAGGAGCGCCGCCTGCGGGGGCAATCTTTGCGGACACGCTAACAGGACTCAACGAGGCCAGTTCGAACCCGCTGCACCTTCGTGGCATACCTGGAGCCCTCAGGCTATTAAAACAGTACTGATTGACCAAACTGCTTAACTAAGATTTGTCACATGCTGCAGGTCTCAGGCACAAAGGAGTGGCTGTGCCCAGCAGCCCTCCCAGACCCCACAATATCCCAACGTTCACACCCTTCCCCCTACCAAAAAACGGAATCTGAAATCTAGCCTTGAAACCTCTGATGCGATATGCTGCCTTGCAAAATTCTCGAGCCATGCGAGGGCAACCCACCAACCCTCCGCTCGATCCCACGATCAATTGTTTTGAGGTTTGACATGTTAATTCAAGAAAGCGGAATGCACGGGAACTCTTTGTGAGAGGCAAGGTCCCAGTTTAGTGGAACATGCTGGACGCACTGTTTCTTAGGACTGGTCCGCCGCTACCTGTGTTCGTGATTGTTCGTGGCAGGTGGATCAGCAACTACTGCTGTTCTGTTCCAAGGGGCAGTTAGCTGCCGTGCGGTGGCTCTTAAGATTCGGCGCGGATCCTCGCGCCAGAGATTGATGCTTTGCTAAAGTTGATGTGACAGTACTGGCACGACCGTTGTATCATTGTTCAGCCTTCATGAGTTTGGCATGCCTTGCCAGAGAACTTTCCAGCTTGGCTGGGTGCAAAGACAAAAAAAAGCGCAGACCCAGGCAGTCGATGCTTCAGAAAAAGACACCCGATTTGGCTGCCATGCAAACCCCTCTCCTGCTAGCTTTTAGCAGACTTCCTTGCATGTTGCAGAGCCATGAAGTGCTGAGGCAATGGCACGACGGGACTCCATGCGGCTTGTCGCAAGGGGAGCTTGCGGGTGGTGCAGGCTTTTTTGGACCTGCCCGGGACCGACAGGTGCGGTTTGGAATTGTTGCTTTTTGCTGCATTAGCTGACGCGTGGCGACGTAGCAATGTGGCAAGGCACACGGTAAAGCATCTGGCACAGCCAACGAAAGGCAAACAACAATCGGAAATCGCCCTGTTCGCAGGCCTCTGCCAGCAAACGTCTCCGACACATGTGGCTGGACACCGCTTCATGTGGCTGCATGCAATGGTCGCCAAGCAGTTGCAGCAGCACCTCTGGCTTTTCCATTTGCCAGGGCACAAGTGTGCTGCACGTGCAGTGTAGCTGCTGCCATAGCCACCCCATTCTTACTGGCGCGAATGAGGCGCTTCTTCGGTCCAGTGCTGATGCGACAGCACGGAACAAAGCTGGACAAACAGCTTTGGAGCTTTGCGCGGACCGCCTTTGCGCACATGGTGCGATTTCAGCGACAACGACTTGAGAACTCCGCACTTTTGCCTGGTCAGCAAATCTGCACAGCAATGTGCAGGACTCGGCCACAAAGTCACTCCTGTTGCGGCGTGGACAGGACTGCTCTTCGCAAAAGTGCTCTTTAAGACCAGCCATGGGGGCGTATACTGCTCGGTTTTGCGAATTTTTGCAGGAGGATGTGAAAGTTGGGTCTGGTTCAGTCTCGGCACTGCATATCCCCGACATGGCAGAGATGCCACCCCCGCGAGAAATTCAAGGACCGGGGCCTAGCAGGGCACAGCAAGTAGAAAGGTCGTTGAAATTGACAAGGTGATCCGGATGGTGACAGCATACGTGCCCTGGATTGCAGCATGGCAGCTGCTTCGAGCTTCACAGACGGAGATTGGCCCGCATGTGGATACGGACAGGTGGCTTTCAAGTGCGTGATGCTCAGGCTACGAACCGTTCTTCGTGCCGCGGGATCCCGTCATTCCGCCTGGAGCAAGGGACCATGATTTCCTAGCTCTCTGCGACCGACCTTTGCCTGACAAGAGCAGTTTGTTGCCGGGGTTGAGAAAGGCGCGCCGTTGTTCGGCTGAGATACGGTTGCGGTATGGAAGTGCGCTAAGCCGCTAAGGTATTGCGCAGCGTTGTTTCAACGCACAGGCTGGACGGACCTTGGCATTCCTTGTAGCAGGATGCCCAGACCCTGCGGAGGACGTGTTCGTTTATAGTTGTGCGCAACTTGCGGACACAGTCGTGCAGCGCTGTGAATTTTCGCCGGCGCTGTTCCAATCAACCCAAGGCATCAGGTACTGTGCGTGACCGTCCCACTTCAATCGTGGATTACTGGCGAATGCATCGGCTGCTTTGCTCAACATGTCGCAGCAGTCGCATAGCTGGTGTTCGGAATGAAGTGCATCCAGTCTTGCAGAGACTGTTGCGGTTGCGGTTGCAATCCAGTTTTGGGGAGAATGCTTTTTGGTTGCGCTTGCAATCTCAGACTCTCTGCAGAGAAAATGGGACTGCCTCTTGACGAGATTTTGCAACCAACCAAGCGGGTGGAAGTGCACCAGATGCCTCAAGAGTGTGTGTGTGTGTGTGTACGTGTTATCACTATAGCTGTTGCGGAAGCTGAAGTTGTTGCAGCCGAGAAGGCCAGGGTAATGAGCAACTGTTGAGGGTCTTTGCTACGCCACGGAATGCACGCAATTAGAGGGCAAGGAGCCACCATGCTGCAAAGGTATTTGAGCGAGGATTTCTCTCTTGCCAAGATACTCCGCATGGAGTTCCTGAACTCAATCCGTGTCTCGGCCGAAGGCTTCGCGGCACTCCTTTATCTCCAGTGCTGGCTCCATGCATGCACATGCATGCGCTTCTACTCACGTGGCATCGCAGGGTGGTTTGTAGCATTTTGTCGCTGGGTGCGCTTCTTTCTGATTTCTCTCCGATAGTCCTCCCTTTGTGTTGAGCCATGAACGATACGATCGGGAGATGCCGTCACATCTTCAACACGTGAATCTTGCAGCCAGTGCCGAACACGAACTGAGCTTTGCAGAGTGTACATCAGTGTACAAATTGGAGCGTGCA